AATGCGTTAAATGAAGAAAAATTACAATACAGTATTGAGCAATTTTGAAGACATTTTATTTAGTAATGGCAATGTCACTATCGGTGGTCTCGTTTTATTTCTATACAGTCGTACATCAATTACGTCCACGTTAAGATATGAACGTTCTGTATACGCATGTGTTTGTGTTTCTTCTGGTCGCCGGGCGGTAGTGGATTGACTAGGGCATCGCGCTACGAACCCGGTGACCGAGTTCGATTCCCGCTCATGGCCAACATCAGTGACAATTATCTAAACCTGTCTTGGGCCTCCCCTAGGTGGAGTCGGTCTCAAATGAGTACTTGGTGTGGTGCGTAAACATCAGCATCGGGGAGATAAAGGCGGCCAGGCGTGGCGCTTGCCACCACCCCCTCGTGTGCCATGTTAGTTGTCATTAATGCTCGTTAAAAGCACTTGCCCCAGTAGTCTGTTAAGGCTATACGGGGGGAGGGGTCTTTGTCTTTGTACGTGCTTGGCCATGGTAAATTACAGTAGTTGATTGCGCATCCAGTGGAATGTTTTGAATACATCTACTCCTGTTTATAGAATACAATGCGGATTTATGTATTTATTGATTTATGCATCTAATTTGTGATTCTGTTTCTGGATTCTGTATTTGAGGGGTAGGAGACTTGCAGATTTGGAGAGGTGGGTGGTGTTTTAAAGTATGTATGTGATAACGCGTGCGTTGGCATGCGTACGGCGACCCCGGCAACCGGAGTTTGATTCCTGGCCAAGGCTGACATCAGTAGTGAATGACGTCGATACCGGTTCTGGGCACTGCCTTCACCAATTGGGACTGACCAGCGTGGTGAAGTATGGTCTAACGACCCCCACGACCAGCACAATCCAGCTGGCGATTGACAAAGTGACTGTAAATTAGTCACGAAAAATTTAGTCACTTGATCGTTCTATAAATAAGTGCTTGTGTTTAAATACTCGCACACTGCCAACTGTCACATGTAATCTGTCAGGATAGAAATCTGCAATTGAATTTCCCTCTTGGCTCTCAATCACAGTTCACGGCGTCATGAGGAAACGGTACAATGCGAATGATGAAATAGGTTCATCAGTAGATAAATATCTTGGGCGCACCTGACAGCGTGGAAATCCTGGGCAGATGTGTCCTCGCCACGCCATTGTATACGGAACTAATCACCGCACTTCATTAAAAAACTTGGAACGGATTTTGAGCTTTTGCCCGGACCGCTTTGTCGTGCCGCTGAACGCAGCGCCGCGTGCCGCCCGCTCTTGGCTACGTACGACTTCGAGTGTGCCAGGCTGGGGGGCACCTGGGGTCGTTCTGTTAACTGAATTAGTGACAATCACATTTGCCGACAAAGTGGGTTGTTGGTTTTTTGTTTATTGTTTTTTCATCGGTCAGCGATGACTGTGAGTGGATGATGAATCGTCCGGCGCGATGCCGAGTGCGACCACCCGGCAGGGACCACGGCGTGACCGACCGACTGACCGGAGCAAATGATTTGAATGAAGACGCAGGTGGCAGCGATCAATTGGCAACGTTACTGGGGACGTCATCGGAGCAAAAGTCACAGCCCTTCAATCGCCTGCGCACGCCGCTGCTGGCGGAAGGAGGCTCTGGAGTGCCCCTGTAGGGAGGGCAGGGGGGGTATTTGGTCTACTCTTCCACACAGACCAGACGTGTTAGAGGAGGTGGGTGTGCCTACACTTTACCCCACCACACTGAACCCATTTACATGGCTGGGTGGACAGAGGCAGTGGGTGGGGATTTAAGAAGCTTGCTCCGTTGTTTTAAGACTCCAGGACAATTCCACCTTTTCTCATTGACCGGTCAATGACCGAGTGAGCAAGCAATGCTGGGTAGCTCACGTGCCGGTGGCTGCGATGTTGACTCAGTGCGGATTGCGCTGAGCGGGAGAATGCCGCTGGCGCCGGTCTGCGGGCCCTGCTGCCCGGGATCAGCTTCAGAGATTCACGGAATCTGTGGCAGCGATTTGTGATGTATGTGAATAAAACTGTACACAAATAAGTTGAGTTTTGACCTACACAGCTCCTAACTTGTAAAATGGTTAACGCTAGACGCTTTGTTAGGGCGTTGTGTCTTGTTCCTTGCGGAAACTATGAATGAAATAATTCATTGAAGAAAATCTATTATTATTATAATGCTCACGTTACTGACACGCAATTATGCCTAAACACCGATAATTTTTGACTGTGTGTGTACCCGATCTGATCAGATCTGTTCAGTACGTGGATTGGAGACTACCTAGGAAAACCAGGTGTTGTAGGCTAGGGCTGTGAGGTGTTTAGTGAATATTCGTACGGCATTGGATTCTTGAAACCATCTGTGCGTTGGTTTTCTCCAGATTCTCCGGTTTTATTCCACACAAAGTCAAACAGCCATTAGCCAAAAAGAGATTGTGGAATTCCCTATCTCGGTCCACGAGGGAATCAGTGTCTGTTACACTTTTTAAACCGCTTTCTCCATAACTTAAGATTTTACGTTAATATCTTTGAGGCCTTGTAGGAATTGTCCTATAGAAAACCGAGCTTATTATTATTGTTATCCCACTGCAGGACCCTCCGGAAAGAGAGTTTTGACACTTTACCACAGCCCTTTGTGTGTTAATAACGAGCATTATCAACATTATTATGAAATGCAAATGTTGCCATTGTAGGTGCTCTCCATGCGTATCACTGCAAGGACAAAGTAAATAAGTGGGTAATGAAATCGTCACCCAGAATCGTAACAATCGAATCGTTGAGGGGGTGAATCGTGAAGTCCCCATCGTCGACCGTTTTATTTTCCCCGTGGAATCGTCGTTCCGGTTCCCTTGTGTTGCCGCTTCAGCGGGAGATGCGGCCGTCAGAAGCCGCTCGCTCGTCGCAGGTGCAACGGGCGGCTGAGTAGCGGCACAGCGTTCTTCACCTCTTGGGGCCAACTCCCGCTGAAGCTTCCTCCCCGTTGCTCCACACCTGCTTGAGGCCGGCGGTCGTTCGTTCGTTCGCTCCCATTCACAGTGTATTCACGCTTCGCTTCTGATTATGAATGGGGAGTGAACGACTGCGATTATTTTCCACGCGCTGACGGATGGGCGCGCGTCACAGTCGCGTGTTCCACAATAGGACGGGGCGTCCTTGCGGGACATTGCCGCCGTCTCACTTTGCGAGCCGCTCACCGTGCCGTGCGTCTCAGCAGGCGTGCTTAAGCGGGACTTTCTTGAGTTTGGCCGCCGCTCTCGCCGGGTCCTGAGACGCCCGTTAGAGACGATTGACGTCGTTCAGTGAAGACTCGCGCGGGCCTGCGTTGGCGAGACCCCACGGGCGCTTGTGCCACAAGTGATGCATCGTTTATGCGCTACCCTGGGTTTATCGTTATTAATATCAATCGTCTTGAATTGCGGGCTCGCGCTTTCCTGCTCCGCATCGTTTCCACGTTGTGCGTGCGTTGTGTTTGTTTACGCGTTTTTGGCCACTGCCTTGCGTTACGCCGAGCGATTGCGAGAGACCTTGACGGCAGGCGACCATGGCTGCGCTTGCACCGCCCCCCTCGTCCCCCTTGACCCCCGCGTCGCTCTCTTCCCACGCTTCGCTCGTGTCCTACGCCGACCACGCAGCCCGCGCGGACGCGAAACAATGTCGGCAGCATTCATGCGTTCTGTGCGTGTGTGCGCGTGTATTTATAACGGATAGGAATTCCTTTGTGTTCTAACGATTATTTTGCTACTTTGGTAATTGCCCTCCCATTAAAACCATTAACTCGAAGCTCCGCTTGTGTCTTCGGGGTGGGCAAATGATTTTACCGGAGCTGGAGACGTTTGCCCCGGCTCTCCCGAGTTGAGTGGCATCTGCCGAGACGTTCCAGGACTTGGGCGATCGGCATCACCGCGTGTAGCCGCAGCTCTGCCGACTGCTGCTGCCCAACTTGAGAATGGCTGCGAAGGCAAACGTGGCCGTTCGGTTCCCACGTTGCTTTGGTTATAAAATCGCAATGTGAGTCGCAAGGGGTCTAGCGGTCTGTTAATTTATCGATCACAACCGCATAGCACACGTATTGAATCGTATGTAGAATTGATAATTTTCAAATCCTATACTCTGTAGAGTAGGTAATGTACAAATGTAGTGACATCACGGGATGTCACTGTGTAATGCCGGCCCTAGAGGGTCACGGCGTGCGGTGTGGCGACACCGCAGACACCACGTGTACCACGTGTATGTGGGTGCAGTACCGGCCCTAGAAGGGCTTGGTGAGCGCTGATCGACAGCGCTGGATGGCACCACGCTCGGCGTGCAGTGCTGGCCCCTACAGGACAGGGTGTGGGCGTGCCGGCCATGGAAATGGGGTTACTAGGGGCAGTGGTGTCACGAGGGGGGTGCGGGGGGTGCGGGCCGCACCGGGTGACACCATCAGAGGGGGTGACACCAAAATGACTGTCTATACAGTTTCTGTGCAGTGTTTCAGCATACATTTATAATTTTTTATTTAAAAAAATTTCCCTGTAGTTAGTTATAACAACAACAAAATAAAATGTTGTTGTTATAACTAAGCCCAGCTTACATGTACAATATACCTACAAGGCTAAAACTCTATGCTAATTGACTTTTTGAACCTAATGCGCTCCGGTCAGCGCTGTCATTATTACCCAACTACAGTGACGCTTTGAGTCACGTGGGTTCATCTGCACGCGCTACGAGCACGCGCTGTTGTGCTCGTCGCTGCTCGTGTTTTTATAGTCGCTGAATTTGTCAATTTTTCTGGTGTTTTAGCTACAATATCGTGGTGATTAGTATTTGTGAACCTATATCAATAACTATTTTGAGAGTGAAGTAGTAAATTAAGGAAATATTATAATTTAAAGGTGTCATTTAAATGTTGCTAGTTTACGTCACTACTATTGCCATTCCATTCAGTGATATACGGATGGAGGCAACGCAGTCGCGCTTGGCGTGGATTGTCACTGCTGTTCTAATGCTGTTCGTCGTCCCTGTCGTCGTCGCAGCGCTGTCTCCTCTCCCTCCGCTGAACGTGACGTCACCGCACGCCGGGAAGCCCGTGTCTCCGACGCCGCAGCTGCTGGGCCTCGAGTGTCCGCACTCCGAGCTCACGTCTCACGTGGAGCACCACCAGCAGCAGCAGCAGCAGCAGCAGGATGAGCAGCAGCAGGAGGAGGAGGATCACCTGGATCAGCAGCAGCAGCAGCAGCAGAACCAGCACCTGTTGCAGCAGCAGCAGAGGCAGTGGCAGTACCTGGAGGAGATGGTCAGCTCGCTCATCAGCACAGCGCAGCAGCTCAAGGCCGCCTTGGAGCAGGCGAAACAGGAGGCCGCGATGGCCCAGGCGAGGCTGCAGGCTGAAGCGGAGAGGGCTGAGGTAAGTGTGGAGGGCGGCAGAGAGGAGGGCAACGGGCGAGAGGGCAGTAGCATGAGCACCGACTGTGCTCTCATCAGCTTGGTGTCACGAGACAAAGCATCCATTTGGATGTCTCGCAGAGCATTATTGACCTTCGTTTTAGAGAAAAGCCCACGATAGTGCATATCACAGAGCGACCTCTTGAGATCCCTTGGAGTGAGCTATGGTGCAGTTGGCGCAGAAGGAGGCAGCGATTTGCTCCCTGCTCTGCAACTGAGAGCAACCTTCGCCCCTTTACAATAAAAGTGAAATTGTAGTTTTCATAGCCAAAATTTATCCAAATTAATTGCAGAACAAAATTGAATGTTTTTATTTATTTGTGCAGTCATGGCTGACCGGGCTGAGACCATCACAGTGTACAGTGTTTGTTTTGTGACCGTAATAACTATATTGTGTGCACATGTGTGCGCTTGCTTTTGCACGTACGTGCGTGCTTTTGCACGTACGTGCGTGCGTTTGCGGACGTGTATGTGCGTGCGTGCGTGTGCCCTCGCAGCAGGTGCTGAACCCGTACCACGCGCGCCTTGAGTCTCAACTCCATTTCCAACGCGTGGAGCTGGGCGATGGGAAAACCGAACTCATCATCAAGGTATCGACAGCGCCATATCGGACAATCACACCCCTGACGCATCCGAAGATTGCAAAGCGTTGCAGCAGAGCAGCGATCACGCTTCGTCGCCATCATCATCAGCCACGATCGATCCACTGTTGGACAAATCCCTCCCCAAGCTGAAGCCGTTTCTCATGGCCCTGCAGTGTAGCCGCTCCGTCTCGCTGCTGCTCGTGAGCCGATCTCGTGGCTCGTTCTTTCCCTCTCAACGTCCCCCCCCGGGCGCGCCCCCTCCCCTTGGCTGCCACTCCGTCGCTAGTCTCGTCCACCGGCCCCTCGCCACCCCCTCTCACGACGTGCCCTGCCCAAGCCCCCCGCTCCCTTTTAACGACGGTCAAAACGTCGTCCAACTTTGACGTGAGTGACGGATTGCGGCGGGAAGGGCGCTCTCGGCGCGCGGCTCTGCCGGGTCTCTCCGCTCGTTGGCGAAGTAAAACGTGCCCTCTCCTCCCCCCTCCGCCAGCAAATGTGCGTAAACTGCGGGCGCGAGGCCATGAACGAGTGCACGGGATGCCACAAGGTACACTACTGTTCCACCTTCTGCCAGCGTAAGGTCAGTGCCCGCATGAGCACCCTCTGTGTGACGGGCGAGGCGCGATTTTGTGCAAGCGGTGCTCACGCCGGGGTTCTAAACGCCCGGAGGGAAGACGCCGCCCTGACAATCAATCGGCTCTTTAATAGCCAATCCACACACCCCGGCTGCGTGTGTCCTGGGCTCTCCCGCACGAGCAAAATGTTTCCACTTCATGCTCCGTTATTATTTGGACGACAGGACAGAGACACAGAGGACCGGGTTACAACCGTCCTGCAATTTGAGCGACGCATCCGAGCGTAATCGTGGCGTTCCCCAGCTGTGATCTAGAGAGCGAGAGAGAGAGGGACACGGAGGAGGAGAAGAAGAGCATCAGGTAGAAGAAATGCGATGCAGGGAGGGGGGGGTGAGGATGCCAAGTGCGGAGTGAATTGGCGCCAAGATTTTCCTGTACTCCATTCGTGACCCCTGCAGCACAACCCCTAGGTGTTGTTCAAGGTTGGGAGCTCGTGAGCAGCGTGAAGTTTTGTTTATGGCAAATATTCATGAAAGTGACTTTGAGGAGAGCTGCCACAGCACGCGAGTCGAGCGTAGCAGGACACGCACCGGGTCAACAAGCGGCAGCATCCGCCCTCTGGCACCAACCCCTTGTGGGGGGGGGGGGGGGGGGGGTCCCTCCTGGCAAAACCCCCCAAAGCGAGCACCCTTCCTAGGGGTCCCGCCTGGCAAAGCTCTCCCTCGGGAGACGTGGCCGGAGTTTGACCGCTTTTTATTTTTATATATTTTGAATTGGGAAGACGGAACCAGGATGTGGGGCATCGCTGCGACCTGCACGAGCGAATGGACCCACAGGAGAGACTCGTCGTGGTCGGGAGAGGCAGGCAGAGGCAAGGGAGAGACACACCAGAGTAGACAAAGAGATTCAGAATGAAGACCGCTGTAGATGTAGACGTGATATCGCTGCACAGTTGCGGTGGAGCTGCCAGTAAATATTTTACAAATCCAAAGATGCTTTGAAGTCGTGTGGGATAGTTCGGGACGCAGAGCCTCGGTGTGCGTAGCTACAAGATGAACACCATTTGTGTCTTTTGGTCACGTCTTCATTTAAACCTCTCGTCAGAAACAATCGGTGCTCGTGTTCCCTCTGCCCCACGGGGGGAGGCACCCCCCGATGCTCGCTGCGCAAAGAGCCGCACATTTTGAACAAGAACAGCGAAATTGCCCAACCCGACTAAATTTCAGGCAAGGTGATGACCCCTTTCTGCCAATCACAGCCACCACCGTCACGGGGCGATCGTCAGGGCACTGGCCGGTTTCACCACCACCACCACCACCACCTCCACCACCACCTCCAGCACCACCTCTACCTCCAGCACCACCACCACCACCACCTCCACCCCGGTGATTGTGTTCCATGGTGTGTGCTGCGCCCCCCCTCTCATCCCACCGCCCCCACCGCCCCCACCACCCCCACCACCCCCACCACCCCGCAAAGCCTCCCCTTAGAGTCCCACCCATCACCCCACATCCCAACCCCGACCCCCAACCTCTCCCTCAAACCCCCGCAACCTTCCCCGCTTGCAATCCCCCCACCAGTTTTCCTAAATCCCTCTCCCTCCGCCCTGTCCCTCCCCCGCCTGCCTCGCCCCCTCCGCCTCCTCGCCCACCTCGTCGCCCACCTCTGGTCGCGGCCGTCGCGGCCGTCGCGACGCGTGCAGGACTGGAAGGAGCACCAGCACGTGTGCGGCCACCCGCTGGGGGCGGCGCCGGTGGCGACAGGCGCCGACGTCGCCGTCGGGGACACGGAGGGCGACCACCGGGACAAGGTGTGAGGCGCGGCGCCGTCTCCGCCCGCGCTGCTCGTCGCTCGTCCCCTCCAGCGCCGCCGAGACGGCACCGCTCGCCCCTGGCTCACCCACACAGCTCACCCACACAGCTCACCCACACAGCTCACCCACACAGCTCACTCACAGAGCTCACTCACACAGCTCACTCACATGGCTCACTCACACGGCTCACTCACACGGCTCACTCACACGGCTCACTCACACAGCTCACTCACACGGCTCACTCACACAGCTCACTCACACGGCTCACCCACACGGCTCACTCACACAGCTCACTCACACATCTCACCCACACGGCTCACTCACACGGCTCACTCACACAGCTCACTCACACGGCTCACTCACACGGCTCACCCACACAGCTCACTCACACGGCTCACCCACACGGCTCACTCACACAGCTCACTCACACATCTCACCCACACGGCTCACTCACACGGCTCACTCACACAGCTCACCCACATGGCTCACCCACACGGCTCACTCACACAGCTCACTCACACAGCTCACCCACACGGCTCACTCACACGGCTCACTCACAGAGCTCACTCACACAGCTCACCCACACATCTCACCCACACGGCTCACTCACACGGCTCACTCACACGGCTCACCTACACGGCTCACTCACATGGCTCACTCACACGGCTCACCCACACGGCTCACTCACAGAGCTCACTCACACAGCTCACCCACACGGCTCACTCACACGGCTCACTCACACGGCTCACTCACACGGCTCACTCACACGGCTCACCCACACGGCTCACTCACATGGCTCACTCACACGGCTCACCCACACGGCTCACCCACACGGCTCACTCACTCGGCTCACTCACACGGCTCACTCACACGGCTCACTCACACGGCTCACTCACACGGCTCACCCACACGGCTCACTCACACGGCTCACCCACACGGCTCACCCACACGGCTCACCCACACGGCTCACTCACAGGGCTCACTCACACGGCTCACTCACATGGCTCACTTACACGGCTCACTCACACGGCTCACTTACACGGCTCACTCACACGGCTCACTCACACGGCTCACTCACATGGCTCACTTACACGGCTCACTCACACGGCTCACCCACACGGCTCACTCACACGGCTCACTCACACGGCTCACTCACACGGCTCACTTACACGGCTCACTCACACGGCTCACTCACACGGCTCACTCACACGGCTCACTCACACGGCTCACTCACACGGCTCACTCACACGGCTCACCCACACGGCTCACTCACACGGCTCACTCACACGGCTCACTCACACGGCTCACCCACACGGCTCACCCACACGGCTCACCCACACGGCTCACTCACACGGCTCACCCACACGGCTCACCCACACGGCTCACCCACACGGCTCACTCACACGGCTCACCCACACGGCTCGCTCACTCGGCTCGCTCACACGGCTCGCTCACACGGCTCGCCCACACGGCTCACCCACACGGCTCACTCACACGGCTCACTCACACGGCTCACTCACACGGCTCACTCACACGGCTCACTCACACGGCTCACCCACACGGCTCACCCACACGGCTCACCCACACGGCTCACTCACACGGCTCACTCACACGGCTCACCCACACGGCTCACCCACACGGCTCACTCACACGGCTCACTCACACGGCTCACCCACACGGCTCACTCACACGGCTCACCCACACGGCTCACCCACACGGCTCACTCACACGGCTCACTCACACGGCTCACTCACACGGCTCACCCACACGGCTCACTCACACGGCTCACTCACACGGCTCACCCACACGGCTCACTCACACGGCTCACTCACACGGCTCACTCACACGGCTCACACACACGGCTCACTCACACGGCTCACCCACACGGCTCACTCACACGGCTCACTCACACGGCTCACTCACATGGCTCACTCACACGGCTCACTCACACGGCTCACTCACACGGCTCACTCACACAGCTCACTCACACAGCTCACTCACACGGCTCACTCACAGAACTCTACCTTCCAGCTCAACCACGGCACCGCTCAAGCATTGCCACGCCGCTTGGTATCGCGGTCACAGCTGACGTGCGCACCCGCTGTGCGTACCGAACGCGCTCAAAACGGTTATTAAGCAGCTGTGAACCGCCCCATCGCAGGGCGCTCCTCAAAACAAAACGTCTCAAGACACTCGGAGGCGTTTCTCACATACGAAGACTCTAACTTATTATCGTTGTTATTATTAACATAATTAGCATGGTGTGTGTGATTTCCCCTTACGCACATCTAATTGAGGTGAAGCGTTCGTTGAGCGAATCGGCGTCCCCCGTGGCGCGGAGCCGCGGGCTCGCCGCCGCGCGTTTGACGAAGGCGCGCTCGTGGGCTCGCGAGTGATCTCGAGAATATATTTGTTTCATTTTGGCGAGCGTTACACCACGACGCGGAGCACTTGTTCATTCGTACGCAGCCCGCCTCAGCTGGAAGCGCAGAAACGGTCACGGACGCGTTCGTGGACGGTGATGGATGTGTCCCTGGACGGTTCACTCTGCACCTTTTGCCACACGCCATTTCCACGCCAACGGGAAGTGGCGTCCCTGCCACAACCACCTCGGGATTGCCTCTTTGGAGGCGAGGGTTGGTGGTGGCGAGGGTCGGTGGTGGCGAGTGTCGGTGGTGGCGAGTGTCGGTGGTGGCGAGGGTCGGTTAATATGAAGCTTCCCGAAATCCTGCGAGGCGCCCACGGGATGGCGACACAGTACGCAAGTTCACGAACCCATCTGTGCGGACCTCTGAGTGATCGTTCCAGGCAGGTGACTCTCACAAGCGAAGGCTGTCGTGGTCTCGTGCGTTCTCCCCTGGTTCAACAACATTAGTGTCTACTTCTCACGTGCATGGGGCTCTCTCCGGGTATGCGACTTGTCTCCCACTCGCAAGAGGACAGCAGCAGCAGCAGCTATAAATGAAATTGGTAGAACAACCCAGCATCTCGAACCCTCCTGAAAACGAGCCTCGAGTTTCGGCGAGGCTTTCCCGTGTAGGTCGACTATTATTAAATCACCTTTCTTCATACGCAGTCACTCAAAGTCCCTACTGAGTGCACACTCCCGTGGCTGATTTGTTGTTAATTGAGTAATTGCTACAATTTCTCTGTGTTCAGGATTTCACGTCCCCCCCTCTCCCCAGGGGGCGGGGTGCGGGTCTCTACGTTTCATTCACGTCACGTTTGCCGCACCGCCCGCTAGCGCTGGGCACGCGGTGGTCACAGCGGGGGGGGGGGGCGTGATGATCTCTCCCGAGTGGGACGGCCTTTCCGAAACGCAGTGGCTGCCAACCTGCGCTGTGTGCCCCCCCCCCCCCCCCGGGGCTGCCGAACGCGTGTTGTATTGTTTGTTAAAGAGAGCAAAGCGTGCTTTAAAGTGACTGTCGAGGCCCATCGCGGTTTCACGATTTTATTTTCTAACCTCCAGCATCAATGTGTGGATACAAGAGAGAAACCGTGCATTGACATTGTCACTATTGTGCTATAAAAATGAGATTCCATATTTTATTATTATTACTATTATTGAGCTTGTTCACCCAGGGACGCCGCAGACTCTTTTATTTGGGAAAGTCCTCGAAATGTTTCCGCAAGAGGGGGAGGGAGGGGCGATGTTGCCTCTGCTGCTGCTGCTGCTATGTGATCCCAATTGAGTGAATTTGGAGGTGATTTTTCAGCATTGGGATGACTTTTTGGCCAGTAACCAGTTTCATTCAATGTTGTTTTTTTGCCATGGGAAGAAACCGAAGAAGCCAGAGGAAACCCGTGCACAACACAGTGGAAGAACGATCAGACTCCACACAGAGAGGCGCCCGGGTCAGGCATCGAACCTAGGCCCACGTGGCTTCGGCAGGTACCCTGGTCGCTCTTGACAAAGAGACTTGAAGTCCCAATAATGGTTTGTCATGTACACGTGCACAGCCCTCTGTCAATCCACTGCTGGATGAGGGCCTTCCCACTACGTGGGTATTGTTTGCACCTCACAGTGCTGGTCAGTGCGGCTTGGTGAATAGGGGGGAGATTGAACGTGGGAGCATAGATGCACAGTCGAACAATGATTTTTGCAGTGCTGCCGTCCGCTGCCCACGATGAAGCCCCGTAGCAGCCTATAACACCTGGTGAGCGTGGTGGTCGCCCACACAGACCCTGTCAATACAGGCCCTCAAACCTGCCTAGTCGGTTATCGCCTGATTCAATAAAGATAGCTCAGTGACGACACAACTACTCCAACTTTAGCCTTCTTGAGTTCCGCCTTCCTTCGAGCCGCCAAACATCTCTGCGAAGCGCGGAGATGTTCGGGACGTCACGGGTGGCTGATACCCCGCGCTCCCACACACTTCCCACGCACCTCGCACACACAGCGCCTGATGGATGTGCCGGTGGCCGCTCACTGCTGAGAGCCCCATGGGGAGTGGACGCGTTTACCCGTCTGTCCTGACCTCAGACCCCCCCCCCCCCCCCCCGCTACGTCCGCACGGGTTTCCTCCAGCCCACTCGTATCTCCTACTAAAACAACAACAGCAGCAGCAGCTCGTTAAAACGTAACGGATGGAACTGACGCGGCGGAGGTGCTCTGACGCTGCTGACGTCTGTGACTCATTGCCACCACTTTGAGGTTTGCGGCCGTGCGGTCCGGCTCCCCGACGTGCAGCTCGGCTCCCGGCACGCGGAGCGAAACGTCGGATGATGCGCAGTGCGGCCCGAGGTCGCACCGGGGAGCGCTGCATCTGATGCAGGAATAAACTTGCACCGAAGGTTAAGAGCGGGAGTGTTCACGCGACGGGACCTTGTCGGGATATCCCATGCATTGTTTTGCGTTTCTGTACCGCTCACAGTTCCCGTGCTTGAAGGATTGATGATGATCCAAGCACAATAGCTGCGTCCAAATCACCTTCCAATGCCCCTGCTCTCATCAGCTCTCAGCTGCTTAGTCGACTCGAGCCTGCTCCGTGTTGGGCGAGGTGACCATTCAGGCGTTGCAGGCGCGCGGGGCTGCGAGGCGGCTCGGAGGAGGTGGCAGTCTCGAGTGTCTCCCCTCGTCCACAGTGCGGTTCGAGGTTTTCTCCGGGTTTTCTGGTTTCATCCCACGTGGAGCCAAACTCCTCATTCACGGTATCTGCCAAACATCCCGACGCATGAACACCCTCCTGACGGGGAGTCTTGAGGCTCAGCCAGGCTCTTGTTTAGTAAATAATTGGCATCACGGGGTACTCCGTCTCCTTTGCCAGGTGTCTGCTAAATGTACCCAGAAGTTTGATTTACCATTGTGCGAATCGACTGTCCGAACCACGCTACGCCTCGTCGTCTTTGGGCAACGTTGGTTTGCACATGGATGCAAATCAGTTGTCTTCATGCGCGAATAAATTATGGAGGGCTGGTTTTCCGCGCGATAAAAAGCAACGGCGTGACCTATAAGTTTCAATGAATACGTTTAGTGGAATTTAACAGCCGATCCAATGCGATGTTTCAGCGCGAAATGTGCAGTGACAATGTGCAATTTGCTCTTGCCCCTTTACAGTCTCGGGAGCCTCAGGGCCAGCGGTTTGCAAAATCTCTCTTGCGAGAAGTCAAAGCCGGGTGTCAGCGCCGCGCTCTTAACTCGGGCCTCGACCCCACACATGTGCCCGGAGAGATCATAGCGGTGATGGTGGTGGTGGGAGGGATGGTGGTGGTGGTGATGGTTACAATGGTGATGATGGTGGTGGGAGTGATGGTGACAATGGTGGTGGGAGTGATGGTAGCAATGGTGATGACGATGTTGGCGACCACGCTTCCACTCGTTACACGTGCGGAGGCGG